CATCTCATGCATGAACTTTGTACAGATGTTTCACCATAGGTTTGTATTGAGGCTGTGTACCAACTTTATGGAATACTGTCTGAGTATTTTGAAATATCTGAAATGTGGTTTCATTGGAAAAAACCATCTTATTCCAATTTTGTCTTCTGTATTTCATAGCAAATTCCACTCTATGCTGCTTTTGTTAGTTAGTTAGCAAGGTATAGTTTTTGGGACAGTACTAAAGTAATTAAGATTATTAAGTTCATTAAGTACAGTCCGGTCAGTTACGTTGAGGTTAGTATAATTTTCGTTCAAAATGTTTGCAAGTTCAGTATATGTGTAATATCTATTTGCTGAAATGAGATGACCAAAAAAATGACGTTTTTTAGGAGAAAGTTTTTTTGGTCTATCAGAGTGAGGTAAGGGGTTTAAAGTGTTGCCATTTTTAAGTTTTTTGACATAGTCATATACCGTAGAGCGTGGGATAGAGATTAATTTGTGCAAAGTTTTGGCATCATGAATGCCATTACTCCATAAAATGCTTATAATTGTATGACATTGCTCAAGTGTAACGTTTACCATGGTTGCTAAAAAAAAAACTTGGCAGGTAAAACTAAATAAATAAACAAATATATTGATCATTTACTATTATGATCAATATGTCATCACGTGAAATTTCAACTTGATTGGCTTAATAATATAAGAGAAATTTACATTTTATTGTGATGTATTATTTTCTGATTACTTTTTTTGACCACTGTATATACTTTACACATACCTAAAAGTTAGATAATAGTTATATCATATTTATTATATGAATATTGTTAGAGTAAATCATCACCAAAAGTCTAAACTTCTTATTTCTATGGAAACAGATAAAACAAATAAAGAAATAACAATATATGGTAAGTATATTAATGATTTTATATTATTTTACAATGTATTTTGATAGTACTTTTTTTATAGAACTAATAAAAAATTATACATTTATTGAGCAAATTATAATATTTACGAAAGTTTTATATCAGCATCAGAAAAATAGTAGCATAGAACTTGATCCTAATTATTTTTAATAAATAATTAAAAAAGCTGATCCACACTTACAGGAATTTTTTAATCAAATGATAAAAGCATTAGTTTCTGATAATAGATTTATATATAATGAAGTTGAAGTAAAAAAATCAGTTGTGGATTTATGCTATATTATGGCTAGAATGTAAAATAAATTTGTTAATAATTTTAAATTAGAAATTAAGTTGTATTTATCAGTATCAGGAGCATTGCATACTGCAATTGATACAATAAATAGCATTGATCTTTCTTTTTATTATGTAACAATTAATAACTATAAATAAAAACTTATAAATGAAAATACTATAAAGATTAGAGAATTTTTCTTCAAACAAGTGAGTATATATTAATAATTTTTACATTAAATGTGATTTTTTTGATTTGAAAAATTATATTTTATTAAATTAAAAAAAATAAAGTTTTTATATTATTTTTATTGAATTCGCTTGATTATTTTATTAGAATAATTTTTATATATTTATAATTTAGATAATTATCATGATATATATAAAAAAGAAAATCTAATACAGTATTCTTGTCTACTGCTAAACATATAACTACATACATCTGCAAACAAGTTTTAGCATATACATTAATTCCTATTATTTAATAATGTTTCAATACATAATCTAGTAAATATTGATGCAAGCAATATTTGTTTTCAATTAATACATCATTATTATGAAATATTTGATATAACTTATACTAATCGCAAAAAAATAATAGCTTTCTAAATAATCAAATATTAAAAATTTTGATCGAATTAATTTATTTACAGTATATAACTATAATGATTCAATTGCAGAAAAAAAAAGAAAAATCAATAGAAGGAGTAAAATTAGTTGGATTTCAAGAGAGAAATTTACATTCTATGAATGATTATATAATAGTATTACAGATGATTTTAAATATTGATAAAGATATTAGATACTCATCTAATAAAATCATTTTATTAGTAGCTGATTAGCCTGGTCAATTATTTATTTATAAAGCAATTATCAATTTATATAATTCAAATTCACAATATTTTATACCAGCTGAAATAAATTTATTTGTTCTAATTTTAAAACCTTTACATATTTCTCTAAATAGTAAGAAATAAATATTAATTATATATAATAATTTTTTTCAAAATTGTTTTATTTTGTATTTGAAAAAAAAATACTAGCAAAAAAACCCAAACCATAGAGAATAAACTTACTACTTGATCTAGTATATAGTGGATAATGTAAAATTAAAGATCTAATAATATTAAAATTTGAAAATATCTGTAAAGATATTAAATATTGTATGGTTATTGACCTTTTAGATAATGTAATTCTAGCAACTTTAGATATCTATACTGTTCTTTTTCAATCTGATTTATTTGATGAGTATATAGAAACTATTTTTCAGATTTAGATATTTATTTTTCAATAGAAAAGACACAATTATAACAAAATATCATTAGTATTTTTCTCAAATGTTTTTTACTGATAAGATACAAATAATCTTTTTGCAAAAGTTATAAAATTATTTTTAGTAAATTTTAATTATTACTATATTAAAAATATGTATAGCAAGATAATGGCTTATATATTTGCAAATAATAATACAGATAATATTATTAAATAGCTTACCTAATTGTTATGATCTTGTTTTTGATTTGATTATATTATCACTAATAATTATTGATAATATTATAATTATAATTGATTAGATGTATAATATAACTGTTAATTAAAGATGTAGTTAAAAAAAAATATAAATATCCTTATAAGCCATCAACATTAGATTTGTTATCAGAAAAAACAGCATTATTTATATTAGATTATTTTTATAAGCTCTTTAAAAATTATGAAAAAAGTAAAATTGAAAAGAAAATTAATATAAATTAGCTACTTTAGGAGAAATTGTTGACTCAAAATATCTTTTAGCTGGATATAGTACTAGTGTATCCCCATTGCCAAATGCTTGTGATTACTATAAAAAAAACTTGATAATGGTGAAGTTTTAGTTTATAGGCATGGATACTATTTTAAATGTTATCAAAAATTATAGTATAGTTGTCATTATTGTGAAAAATATAAACGTGAAATATATAATAATGTGAATTCCTTTTTAAAATGATTAAAAAAAGATCCAAATATACTTAATACTAAGAAAAAGAAGGTGAAAATGTTAAAGATATTTCTAATGAAGATAATGAAAAGGCAGAAAAAATAGAAATAAATAAAAGTTAATAAGTATATGTAACTTTTATAAATACACTTAACTAAATTGACACTTGGTAATATATTTAAATTCCAATCAATAAAAACCTGAATAAATTAGCATTTAGTAATATAATATATTCACAAAATTTCTAATTAATAAATCATTTATCTGTTATTATCATAAAATGTATAAAATATGCTTCTTATATAACTTGCTGAGTATTTAGATCCATTTGGATCTAAGAAATCTATATGAAAGTTAAGAACTTTATTGTAAAATATATATAAATAATTATGTAATAATATTAACTAAATTTAAACTTTACCTATGTTACTAATGTAAAAGTATCAATTTTGATAGATTTTTAGTATGCCAAAATGTGATATATTTCTTAACAGAGTTTTTATTACTAAAAATAAATATTATTATATTTTAATTTTAATCATATGAGTGAATATTTTATAATTTTTTTAAAAAAAATTTTTTTTAGTCTTTTTCATCAAAAAAGACATGAAATTTCATACATTACTTTTATTTTTTAAAATTTTTTATAGGTATTTATTTATTATATAATTATATTTATTTTTTTATATTTTTGCAGAAAAACGTGTTAAAATATAATATGTTTCGCTATTTACACAAGATAATATTATATTTTACTATTATCATATTTAGAAATTTTTTTTATATAAAATTATATACTTTGAAACTCATTTGTATAATTTTTCACTAATTGCTTTATAATAAAAAAACTATTTTAACGCATTTTATGTAAATGAAAAAAAAGTTTGTGATAAAAATAGCATATACAAAATTGGTAATATATTTTATAAGACAAATGACTGCTTCTCTAATCTATCAAGAAATTTTAGTTTTACAATGATATCTATACTTTTGTATTACTGATACCTCTCAATATCCTTGATACTACAATGCCTAGAAAAACTGAAATAATTAATAAACCTAAGTTTTTTTACTTCTGATCACGTCATATGATGTTTAAGATCTACTTAAATATTATGAGAAATGGTATGTGTCTAAAGAATCTTTTAATAAGGTAAAGATTGCGTTAGCAATCACGTGATAGTTAAAGTAGTTCAAGAATAAAAGAACAGAGGAAAAAAAGAAAGGAGCTGAGAGGGTACTTAAGCAATATAAAGTATATGCATTTTTAGATTTTTGGATTAGGCTAATGTTAAGATTCTTTTGCAAGACATATAATAGTTATGACAGAAATCATAGGGGAATACATTTCGTTCGTGTATAAAATACATTTCTATTTGTCTCAACTGGAATTTAAGCTACCTACTGGAATACATTTTAAGTAATGATAGAATACATTTCTGCTAAAATCCTACTATGAACTTGCAAAAGTTAGTTATAAATCGTCTTTTCAAAATTTCAAAGAATAATAAATCTCAATTTTTTAGGAGACCGTAAAGCTTGGTTGAAGCATCAGTAATTTTTTGATTAAAATAAATATAAAAAAAAGGCAGATATAAAAGAGGCTGAGGTTTTTTCAAGAATTTGCAAAATACAGGTAGAGAAAATTATTAGTCTTCAATCTTTATTTACATTTAATATTAATCTTAATTCTAATATAATAAGTAGACAAGGATTTACTTATGGTAAGATTTATCTTCAAATTTATAGATTAATATTATTACTAAATACAAATAAGTATTTGTTTCATGTAGAATAAAAGATCTAGAAATATATTGAATGAGACTATAAAGAACATAGAAAGGCATCTAAATCTTTGTCTGACTTTGTAAATGTTGAATACCATGCCAGGAAAAGAAGGAAACAGAATTACTAATTGATTGATATACTATATTATTGCCACTGAGTTCAATATTAAGAAATTTACTGGTAGAACTCTCAAAGCTTACTGATAATCCGTTTCTTGAAGAAAAAGGTAAGGAGGATGACATTATAGCAATTAATAATATCTCATATGAACTATCTTTTGAGGATGAGAAATCAGATAATGATTTTTTTTAGAAAGACTAACATGTTTTAATTGTTCTGAAAGTATCAGAATGAATCGATAAGAATTGCAAAAATAGAGGTTTACTTATTGAGTCACATGTTTAAGAAATATTATCCATATCATCGATTTTAATGTTTACTCTTAATTTACATTCAACTACTATAATCAGTCTTTTTGGCTCACTTTTGTTTGATCAAATTCATAAAGAGCTTATACTGATTCAACAAATTGTATTAGAACCTAAATATAGGTTAACATTTAAAAAGATCATTAAAATAGTAACAAATAAATCGTGTGATAATATCACTAATTGGTTGTATATACAACTTGCTAATAAAAAAATGTTAAGAGATAGCTTAGTTTTATTATCTTAAATTACTTAAAAACATTGCCCATATTGAAAATAAAAGTGAATATAATGAAATAAAATATATTACAAATTATCTTGATTAAATTATATGAGAATTCTTTAATAATCTAAACCAGCATATGGTTTAATAACCTAATGTAGCATTAGAAGAAAGTAAAGTAAGAAAAATTAAAGGTCAGAGCAAACAAACAGACTTTACTATTTCTATCATCTATCAATTACAAACAAAATTTGTTATATTTATTGATAAAATGAGTCTGCCTTTACAGAAAGATAACATATATAAAAACTGTAACGATCTTATATGTCTTGGAGTTTTTATAAAAGATTTTTTAGATTTAGCTATAGACAAAGGTACAGATATAAAAATAATAGGCTTTCAATGTATTGATAAGAAATTTAATATAGTATGCTTTTTTGTCACGTAATTATTTTAAATTTTAAATCATTTTTGCTTTTGTTAAACTTTAACTTGATTACTATATTATGGATCTCACTCATGGAATATACAATCAACTCTTGATATAGTGAACTCTTGATATAATGAATTTTTTGAACAAATATAATAAAATACTTTTGTTATAGTAAATTAGCCAATCAAATCTCTTAAAATCTTCACTATAGCCTTATAGTGAAGTTGAGGTCTAGGACATAAAATTTGTTATAATAAGAGTTAACTGTATATTATGATTCATTTTAGACAAATGATGTTTTCAGCTTCAGTTAAAAAAATGTTAGCTTTTGTTGATTTCTAGAAATACAAGAGATCCTTTACAAATCATTTAATGATTTATATGCTAAACAATTGTTACAGTCAGTTCTTATGAATGATAAGCGAAGCAATATTTATGGGTGGTAGGTAAAAGGTTTAATTTGATATTTAGATTTAGAAGAGTGTTGGTAAATTAACAGTTTATTTAATAACTATAACAATGGAGTATTGCCTCAATCGGCGCTCTGTACTATACAATTATGTTAGAGGGATTAAACTAAACTATTATATAAAATTATAAGTCAGACACACTGCTAAGCTAAAAGAATTTGTCCTCTATTTATATAAAATGGAAAATATAAAGTTACCAAAGATATAAAAGAAATAAATATAATAAATAAAATATATGAAATAAGTAAAATATAATAG